TTGCTTCAAACATTTTCAAGGGGGTGGGGTGATTGGGGGTGGGTGTGCCCCTAGATATGCTATTGCTGCTGACAGCCTATTTCACAAGCAGTGTGCTATACTTTATTATTTATTATTATATATTATTATTTTATATTCATTTATTTAATTTTATAGTTATTTTATTTTTAAAATTTTATCTTTATTTTTATTTTTTCAATCCGACTTTGGGTCTGTATACTGTCAGCGCCTTGAGACAATTTTATTGTGGAAGGCGCTATACAAGTGTCCTACAATTACGATTACTATTAAAAATTTCCTCCCTTTATTGAGATCATTTGTCTTTCAGCTCCGTTCTATTTATGTCAAACCAATCAGAACGTTTTTACGACATCAAAGACTATTAAGGTACGCTGGCTGGAGGTGAAGAAAGCCCCTGACATCTACATGCTGGTCTACAACGACACCATCGAGCTAGCGAGCGTTCTCACCGAGGTGAAACTCACAAAGAAAGATAAAGACTCGTACAGTATCTCGGCCAAGGAAATCAAACGTATTGAGAAGATAATTGAACTTGCGATAAAGAAAGAAAATGGGGAACTGAATGAAAATGATGGTGAGATAGATGGAATTTTAAAAGTAGAATAATAATGAAGAGGATGCAGAAGAATGACATTGCTCTGATAGATGTGAGAGGTTCTAATAGCTGGATTGCAGGAGAGGAATTATCGCAGTGCATTAGGAGGAAGGGGAGGGATAGAATGACAGTTTTAGAGAAGAAGGGGTGGGGTAAAATTGCAGTATGAATAGGAGGAATGGTAGAATAATAAAACCATCAGTTTTTAGGTTTGTTAGTGTATGTATTATATATAATGTTTTTGGGGTTTAGATCTTTTTTTTTTATTCATTCATGCATTCATTTATTCAGTCAGTCACTCATTCATTCATTCAGTGGTTTAATACAATACAATTTACATTGTAGCCAATTTTTAAAATTGTGTATAAAAATTGTACATAAGAATAAAATTCCTCATACAAAATATAATAAAAAGATAATTCAATAAAACCACTAATCAAATTGCATGATATAAATGTATATTAATAACACATATTATTTGTGATCAAATATTGTAAATGTATGAATAAATTGAAAATTATTTTTCATCATTATAGTATTGAGTCCTGATTTACTACCAGATGATGATGAGGAGGAGGAAGAAGAGGAAAAGAAAACAGCAACTAAAAGAGGTAAAAAGAAAGTTGTTGCTGTGAAGAAAGCGGGAAAAGGACGAAAGCGAGCCGGATCCAGGGCCGCGGTGAAACCCAAGCCAAAGGCGTCTGCTAGTCTCATCTCAAACAGACTCAAGAACAAGGCCAAGAGGAAACTGACAACTCAAAAACGTAAGCCTTTTCAGATAATGAATGTATTATTCATTCAAAATGTTTGTTCTTGTGGATATTATGTTTTGGAAATTAAGATACCAATTACATTAATTCTATGAATAAAAGCATTGATGCTAATGATCACTCTAGTTCAGTCCAGACTATCACATTCTCCTTGACAAATAACTGTTGTATTCCCATATATAGTCATTATATGCCTATATATGGTCATGATGTGATGTCAACATAACTATATTTAGGCATATCACATGTTTTTGTCAAATAAAATTTGATAGTCTGGACAGAGCCTTAAGTAGCAAATAATTACAAAATCATATCTTCCTACCTTCTTACAGAGACAAACAAAAAATCAAAGCCTACAAAGGCCAAGGCAAAGAAACCAGTGAAGAAGAAGTTAAAGAAGGTAGAAAAGAAAGTGAAAGAAAAGAAGGGTAAACAACCACGTAAACACCCTAACCAACTATTGACACCAAACACGAAGATTGAGATCGTGATGAAGGACCCATGCTTTGAAATCAAGTGAGTTCTACATGGTCTTTACTCTAATGCTTGTCCACACTATCAAATTTTGTGTGACATACCTGTAATCATACCCAGGTGTTTGTCGCATAAAACTTATAAGTGTGGACAGTACTTTAAGCACTTTTTATCCTTAAGTTCTGGCCACACTATTAAATTTGATGTGACAAATGTGTGTCATGTGCCCCTGTATGGGCATGTTGATGTCATAATTATTACACCCAAATATGGTATTATCACATTTATTTGTCACATGAAATTTGATAGTGTGGTCAGAGACATGGTGATAAAAAAAAATATTTCTGTGTGATATCTAAAGTGATGAATATGAGGTATTAGTACTGTGTCTTAGAAAGGGAGGGTATTACATTTTTTTCCTGTATTTTAAATTTGTTCAATACCCAATAGCAAGTACCGTACACTTGCCAATTAAAATGATAACATGTGTGAACACTCATTATAACAAATAGCATACATAATTAAAATTTGAATAATATTTGTTCACATTATTTTTATTTTCCAAAATTTGACATGCCTAAATATGGTCATGATAATAATAATAATAATAATGGTAGAATTAAATAGCGCATATGTGAGGTCTCACCACGAAATGAGACGCATTGTTGGTGAAATCATATTGAGATATTCACCAACACAGGCCAAAGTCAAAATTTTTACAACATTTTTATTTTAATGTTTTTGAATAACTTGATACTTATATTTTATGATTTTATACTTTGTAAGTGAATTTTCTTGCCAAAACAGTGTTCTCTGCACATATTCTGTAATTGTAGTCATATTATTTGTACAGGTTAGTTTATCTTTGAGGCTGATTTTCTCAAAATGTGGTTCTTATATATACCTAAACTTTAAATGCTCACATCTCTGGATTTACTTATAGTAGGGAAGCCATTCAAAGACCAAATGAAAGCTTATAATGTGATCTACCCAAATATAATATAAACTCAATTTTTTAATTTCTAACTATGAGACTCATTTTGTGGCTAGACCTCACATTTTGTCTATGCGCTTCACATTCTCATTACACCGGTCACTGGATTAAACGCCCATGGAACACAAACTCCCTGGGGGAGTATTCGATAACGTTGCAGCAGCTACATCAGCGCATTTTAGTATTTAACCCTACCACATGCCCACTTAAACTCCTGGGTGTAGAGAAGCAATGCAGATAAAGTGTCTTGCCCAAGGACACAAGTGAGATGCACAGCGAGGGATTGAAACCACAACCTTGAGGTTGGGAAACCAAACCGTTCCCGCTGCGCCAAACCACATCCACAGATGATGACATCACATCATATATATCATGACTATATATGGGCATACAACAGTTTTTTGCCAAATAAAAGTTGATACTATTTTATGAATATATTCTGAACAATTTATATTTTCTTATTATCTAGAGCTGAAAATGAAATGCCTGAAGTGTCAAAGGCAGCTTATGCCAAGCGTGCCATCCGTGCTGTCCTCACCAACGACATGGTGTTGTTGCGCAAGTTGATCAACGACAAAAAGAAGGTGGCGTCAGTGTTCTTAGACAGAAGCGTAGATGTGAAAGACGATGCGATGTCGTATGCAATCATGAACAACAACCAGGCAGCAATTAAACTGCTCGGCACAGAATTAGAAGCAAATCAACGAGATAGATGTAGGATTCCAGACAGTATCTTAGAAACCCAGGGTACAGGAACGTATGTACTATATTTTTTTTAATAATTTTTAAAAACCTCAGTTGACATTTGTGATTAATAATAATATTATGTTGAACTTATATAGTGCTTCATTTCAATAAT